GAAGCTGCATCCGGGCAAACTCATGAATCAATGGACTCTGCTGCGTGATAACGTACATCAAGTCTCCCGTCACCTTTTGGCTTAGAGCATTTGCGACGACGTTCGCCTTCCCCGGATGGTACTGGATAGAACAATCATAATCCTTGACCAATTCGAGCCAACGGCGCTGCCTCATATTAAGCTCCTTCTGCGTGAAGATGTACTGCAGGCTCTTATGGTCTGTGAATATCTCGCAGCGTCCGCCATAAAGAAAATGTCGCCAGATCTTCAGGGCGTAAACGACTGCGGCTAACTCCAAGTCGTGCGTAGGATAGTTCTGCTCATGAGGCTTAAGCTGACGCGAAGCATACGCGACGACCCGTCCGTCCTGCATAAGGACAAATCCCAAGCCCTGTCTCGAAGCATCGCTGAAAATAGTGAAACTCCGAGAAGGATCTGGGATAGTCAACACCGGTGCTGTCGTCAATCTCCTCTTGAGCTCCTGAAAGCTCGCCTCACATCTGTCAGTCCATTCGAACTTCACAGACTTCCTCGTCAGCTGGGATAGGGGGAGGGCAATCTTAGAGAAGCCCTCGATAAACCTGCGATAGTAACCAGCTAATCCGAGAAAACTGCGAACCTCGGACGGATTCCTCGGTGTCGACCAGTTCTGCACGGCTGAAACTTTAGAAGGATCCACCTCGATGCCTGCCTGGGTAATTACATGACCCAGAAAAGATACTCGCTGAAGCCAAAACTCGCATTTGGAGAATTTTGCGTACAACTTCTCTCGTCTGAGGGTTTCGAGAACCACCCTCAGATGCTCCTCATGCTCCTTCTAACTCTTCGAGTAGATAAGGATATCGTCAATAAAGACAATACCGAACTGATCGAGGTATGGATGAAAGATACGGTTCATGAGATCCATGAACACTGCTGGCGCATTGCTGAGACCGAAAGGCATGACTACAAACTCGTAATGGCCGTAACGAGTCCTGAAAGCGGTCTTAGCGATGTCTGACTCCTTAATCTTCAGCTGGTGGTAGCCTGATCGCAAATCAATCTTTGAAAACACGCAGGCTCCCCTCAACTGATCAAATAGGTCGTCGATCCTGGGAAGCGGATATTTATTCTTGATCGTTAACCGGTTAAGATGCCGGTAATCGATACACATACGCATAGATCCGTCCTTCTTCTTAACAAAGAGAACGGGTGCTCCCCACGGTGACACGCTCGGTCGGATGAAACCGAGTCGTAACAGCTCCTGAATCTGAGTCTTAAGCTCCTGTAACTCCTTAGGCGCCATGCGATATGGGGCTTTAGATACTGGACCGGCCCCTGGGATAAAATAAATAGAAAACTCCACCTGACGGTTGGGCGGTCCTCCTGGAAGCTCGTCTGGGAATACGTCCACGAACTCGCGAACGATTGGAACATCATGAGGTGTCCGCGCTTTCTGAGAATCCTCGACAAGGCTCACTAGGTAACCCTGGCAGTTGCCTCGTCGCAATAACTTAGTGGCTTTCGCCATCGAAACGACCTGAGGCAGTGAACGGTTCTTGGAGCCGAAGAAAGTAATCGACTCATCTCCCGGAAGATAGAGAGTGATCTCCCGGTCATGACACCTGATGTCCGCATGATAAAAGGATAGCCAATCCATCCCGAGAATCAGATCGAAATCCTTCATCTCGAGAACAAACGCGTCGGCAGTCAATAGTCGGCCACCGATGGAAAGGCTAAGATCTGAGGCTTTAGCTGAGGTCACTATCTTTCGTCCCGAGGCTAAACTCACCTCGAGAGGATCGATAGCGGTAACAGCATGAACTCCGATGGCGTCGAGACACCGTCGTGAAATAAAGGTATGCGTCGCTCCGGTATCAAACAAAGCGAACACAGGAATATCATTGAGAACAACCATCCCGGACATGGTACCTGGTTGCTGTGTTGCCTCCGCCTGATCGACCGCGTAAACCCTGGCCTGCTGCCTGCCCCTCTGCTGCTACTGCTGCTGCTGAGGCGGCCTCTGTGCCTGCTGTCGTGGCTGCTGCTGCTGTGGTGGCTGCTGAGGCTGCTGCTGGAGTTTCTTCGGGCAACGATTCGCAAAGTGTCCGGGCTCCTGGCAAAAGTAACAGATGTCCTGTCCAGCACGACACTCTCCCCTATGAAGTCGACCACAAGTCGGGCATGGTGGAATCTCCTGTAGCCTCCGTCGGGTCCTTTTATCTGTCGGGGCACCTTTCCCCTTCCTCTTGTTGTTCTTTGGTTGCTGGGTAGATGGTAGAGCTGGTGGAACTGCGACTGGCTGAGCTGGGGCAGATGGCTGAGCACGATCACGAACGGCCTCCCTCCTGATGCTAGCGTCTACCTCCTGGGCGATAGAGACTGCTCGTGCATACTTCTGTGTCCCGTGTCCCACGATATTATGACGGACTGCTGGGTAAAGTCCGTCAATGAACCGCTGCGCTCTCTGGGCCTCCGTACGAACAAGATCCGGTGCGAAACCTGCAAGTCTGGTGAACTCTCGCTCGTACTCATCTACTGTACGAGTGCCCTGCTGAAGCGCTAAGAACTGGCGCTCCATCTCTGCCCGATAGTAGGAAGGGTAGTACTTGTCGCAGACTAGATTCTTAAACATGTCCCATGTACAACCCGCCTTTTCACCAGGACGCATGCTCCAGTAGGCATTCCACCAGAGCCTGGCATCACCAGTGAGCTGAAGTTGAGCGCAAACTACAAGATACCTATCGGGGCATTCCATAACCTCAAAGATAAACTCTAACCCCTGGATCCATTCATCAACGATGCGGGGGTCTCCCTGTCCTGAGAACTTCTCTGCGTGATAGTCGCGGAATTGAGCGACTACCGTAGCCTGAGTAGGACCCTGATGATCGGGCTCTCTACGTGGCGGCATCTGAACATTGAGAAAGATTTAACATTACTGACTATGCGATAGCATTACTGACTGATTACTGAGGCACACAGATCTCTTGACGAGTTGCCAAAAATGGCCGATAAGTACTGACGTGAAACCTGAAGAACTCTAGAGTCATATAGGAAGATCCTAACATCTAGAGTCTTATCTGAATGCCTGAATTCTAGAGTCATGTCCGAACTCTAAGGTCTGAATCTGATT